AAATGGGTACCGCACGAACTAACCGAGCGAAATAAGTTGGATCGATTGAACGTATGCTCATCATTATTAACCCGATTTCATCGAGAATTTTTCGATCGGATCATTATTTATGATGAAAAATTCTTTACACAATAGGAAAAGGTGTGCTCGGTGACTTGATAGGAATGAGGCTTGTGCTCATACTCCAAGGCCATCACTTCATCCATGGAAAATTTTAATAATAGTTTGGTGGAATGTGACTGGAGTAATTCATTACTCATTCCTTCGAACTGGGAAGACAATTACAGCCGAAAAGTACTGCCAGTACATTGATGAAATGCATGAAAAATTGAAAATTATACGCCCATCACTTGTTAATCGGCATGGCCCAATACTTCTCCATGACAACGTTCGGCCGCATACATCGTACAAAACAATTGCGAAATTAAATGAATTAAAATATGAAATTTTGCAGCACCCAGCTTATTCACCGAATCTTTCGCCAACTGACTTTCATTTTTTTAAACATTTAGAATAGTTTTTATGGGCTAAACAGTATGAAAATGAAGACAGAAAATGAAGACTGAAAAATTCCATATCAGAGTTTATTGATTCTAAAGATCAGAATTTCTTTAAGAAGGCATCTATGCATTAAAATCTCGTTGGGAAAAGTGTATTGAAACAAATGGAGCATATTTTGATTAAATAAACAGCTTTTGAAAAAAGATATGCAGTTTTATATATTCACTTAAAAATCCGACATTTTATATGCACCAACCTAATACCATGTTTTTATTTTTTTATGTAAATTTCTTTATGTAAATTTCTTTATGTAAACGGATGGAAGGATAGATTTTTTACGATATCTTTTATTCCGTCCGTTTCCGAAACAATTAAAAACTTTATTAACATCTCCGGCGGGCAGTATACAGGTATTAACAAACTAAATAAATTCATTAAAGTTCTGAAGGATCTGCTGCCTGCATCATCGAATTCTAATGTAGTTTATAGAATAGACTGCAGAAACTGTGATGCCTTATATGTCGACCAGACTGGTAGATGTCTAAAAATGCGAATGATGGAACATAGACATTATATTAACAGAAATACGATTCAGACTTTTGTTGTTACGAAATTCAGAATAGAAACATCTCATGATTTTGATTGGGATGACATTAAAATATTGGACAAAGAAAAAAATCTTAAATAAAAAACTATTGTCACAAATGATTTACATAAAGAAACAAAAATATGGTAAATTTACGAAATGACACTTTATCTCTTGACTCGCTATGAGAATTTATTTAAAAAGTATACCACGTACAATGCTTCCTCCTTCTTATTACATAAATTGTGTCCTTTGTTTTTCAATTGTGACTTTATATGTAACGTCTCATTATCGAGTGTTTGAATTGTTAACATCGTTTTTCATACTCGTTATGTAAATTCTAATTCTTCTTAGTACTTTTTTTAATAACTTTAATAGACTAGCAATTAATATTTAATTAATTTTATTCACATACAGTAAAATTTTAATTCAATAACGGAATATGTTGGTAATCCCATGTTTTTCTGATTCAATGTTACATGTAAGTGACTTATTACCTTAAGACAGGATTCTCTGCCAAAATAATAAAATATTGTATTTTATTTGTATTCTATAGATTCTTCTGTTAAGATTGAACACAATCGTCATAATACGATCTTACTAATAACTAATTCAAGTAAAGAAATGTACAAAATTTATAGACTCCTTAAATTATTACAATAAAAAAATAACGGCAAAATACAAATAGGCGTTAGGAGTTAGCGTTGAATATTATATTGCACAATGCTAACTAACTTATTAATATGTTACAAATTTAATTTACGTTTCGGCTCACTATTTGAGTCATCCTCGGCAATAAAAATTACCGCTTATCGCTATAAAATCTGTCGAACTGCATCTCGCACAATCGTAATTCCGACCTTCAATAATGCAGTCGCAATGGAAATGTGGTGAGAGACAACTATCTTCGACTCATATTGTGCCACCCAGTTACTTAGCTGAGTGGAGCAGATAGTGAAACTCAAGCTAATAATTGCAACAAGATATTTTTGAATAAATATTAATTTGCGTAATTAATGTATGCTAGCCAGAAACTCATCTCATCTCCAACAACGATCGCATGTGTATCCAAGCATCGTCAATCCATTACAACAAGTTTAATCACGATGTCAAAGTTTGATTGAAAAATAATTTAAGTAAAAGAGAGTCATTTTCATTCTGATTTAGTCACATCTTGCATGATTAAATCGGCAATAATAGGTGACAATGGCGAACCCAAAGATCTGTTTATAAATTTGATTACCGAAAGTAAAATAAGTAGAATCCAAAATTAAATGCGCCTTCGAAAAAAAAATTCATTTTTCGGTATCTTACAATTTTTTTCAATGTAACTCCATCTGCTAGAAAGAGCATCCATCGCTAAGTCTATAGGGACATTTGTAAATAAAGATACTACATCTAGTGACACCAAGCTAAAATCTGATTTAAATTGTATATTGTTCAATTTTATGATCAAGTCATAATTGTTATTCACATTTTGGAGCTTTTGGTATACTATCGATAATCAAACCATGTACAAACGTAGCCAAATTATATACTGTCCACTGCCAAGATAATAATTCTAAACGAATAATTTGGCTTGTGAATTTTTGAAGATCCATAAGCTCTATTCTTGGTTTGTTACTAGGATCTTTTTAAATGTGCCTTCTCATCCATTAGCATAACATTGATTTTCTCAGTGTAAGAGTTTTTTTCTAATACTACCGTTATGTTGCCTTTGTCAGCCTTTGTAAAAATAATATTTCGAATCTTTTTGAGAAATTGTTTCATACATTATATTAATTTAGTTAACCTATGATGTATCGAATTATTTTTAGATTTGAAAGACAGTAAGTTATTGATGATTGCTAACGAATGATTTTTCATATTATAATGCACAGAACTCTATAGCTTCCTAATATTATTTTCTATATTTTTCATTAATTCCATGACGCTTTCTTCGCGCGACACATCTCTTTTTGCATTCAACGGATAATATGTGACAAAAAGCCGAAACGTACAAATTAAATTTGTTACATATTAATAATTAGCATTGCGCAATGTAGCATCCTGCGCTGACTCCTAACTCCCATTTGTATTTTGCTGTTATATTTCATTGGGTTTATTTTTCAATAATTTTACATTTCACGACTCGTTTTCAAGATTTATTTAACGTTTATTAAATGTTTTCTAAACATTTATTCGTAATGAATTTTGATTCATTTTCAAAATAAGATTTTTTTAACGTTTATTTAACATTTATTAAATGTTTGTTTTATATTAATTTTTCGTTTGAAATAATGATTCGAAGGAAAATTCTTAGACGTTTATTTAATGTTTCTTAAATGTCTGTTTTACATTAATTTTTCGTTTGAAATAATGTTTCGATAAAACATTTTTTTTATGTTTATTTGGCGTTTAATAAAAGTTTGTTTTACGTTATTTACTTAAAATATTATTAAAGAAACATTTATTTATCTGACGTTTATTATAAATGTTAAAAAAATTTTATTGTTTCCTAAAATTCAAATTAATAAAAAACGGGTTAGAATAAAAAAATAATCACGGAAGAAAAATTAATCCAATATAATTGCATTAAATATATCATATGGACAATTAGAACTGTGTACATCGACAATTATAAGTAGCATAATAAGGTATGAGACTCATAATCTTGAGGTCCAAGTTCCAAACCCGGTAAGTAAAAAAGATAAAAATATAATAAAAAATTACAATTAATTAATAAAAAACGTTTTTTAAAATATTTTTTTGGGTATGCTCTAAAAACATAAACTCTCTGCTAAAGTAATGAATTTGTATTTTGAAAGCAGTAAATTTGTGTTTTTAAAGCAATGAACTACTATTATGACAGATTTCCTAACCGGAATAGTCGTCAACTTTGAAGATTAATATCTCGGTTCGCGGAGCAGAGTGACACTTTTTCTTGTAAATTTTTATTTTTATGCAAAAACGCATCAAGTCGGAATATTTTTGAGATAAGCAGAATCTTCTTAATATTTATCTTTATCACTAATCATATTATATAACCAATCAATCAAGTACTAAAATGGTGAATGAGAATACCTACATTTCTAATGGCTTAGTATACACTAGTTCAGCCACAGAAAACAGACAAATAATGCAAATGTTTACGAGATAAAACGATAAAAATATATAAATGATAGTAGATCTATATAGAAAAATATTTTGTACTATCATTATCTTCAATGAAGAATATTTTTAACGGTGAAATTGCATTACTTCAGCATCGTTACAGAAATCTAATACTTCCATATAAATTTAGGATGCCATTTTTATTTTGCACTAGAACGTTTTCTTATTCCTTGCTTGCACGCTTACACTCGTCAATTCTGGATTGCACTATATCAGTTTAATTCTAGTGCAATCCTCATGCAGGAACAGAAAACAAACCTATTAATTATTTCAAGAGGGCGGTTATTTTATTTTATATAATTATATTATATATAAACTGTAAACTTTTTGTATTTGGCAAATATTGTCAAGTGACAGCTCTACGCATAAATTAAAGAGTAATATTTTTTTGTTTTTTATATAAAATTGAATGTCTTCCCTTTCATTTTTTTATGTTTAATCATAAAAACCAAAATTTTATACATTTCTGAAAAGCCAATTCAAAGATATAAAATAAAAAACAATATTCATTGACTTCATTTTAGGATCTCTTTAATTAGAGGCTAAAACAGATTTAATTAACTTTAAAGAAGTTCGAAAAAGTACTTCCTTCATTGAGAAACATCCGATATACAACATAGGATATCTTTCAATCTTGCCTTTACCTAATGATCTGAACATTTGATCCATTTCTGCCAAAAGACTTGGGCCAAAATCAAAATTTAATGTCTTATCAAATTTTAACGGACTATCTTGATTTTCTTCATCACTGATTTCGTGGTATTCATGGTCAGCTCCAAGAGTATCAGTATTACTACCTATATTGGATGTCATAGCTTGCTTGTTTGCGTTGTTGCCGGTAGTGTGGCATATCTCCGAATTTATATCAGACCATAGGCTCTCTAAATAAACATATAATATAATACTATATTTTCAAAGTAATACAAAATTGACTAAAATTAAATATAACTAATATTTGACCAATATTCTGTTCTTTATTTTAAAATCATTTGCTTATTCATATAAATTATATCTATATAAATTATATTTAATAAAATTAATCATACTACTTACTTTTATAAATAAATCTATACGTACACACAGAATATCCGATAAAGACCGTAGCAATGATTAAGAATAAATTCTTGAGACCATTTTGAGATGAAAATTCTAATATCAAAATTTTGAAATGAAAATTCTAATATCAAAATTTTGAGATTATAATAGTTTTTAAATCATAAGCATTTAAAGTTAACGAGTTCAATTGCCATTTGAAGTTCATGCGAAGATGTGGGCTCTGTTCCAAAATTTACTGGCAGTATTGAAGACTTACGTTACACGTGACATAAACTATAGATTTTCAGTACTGGCAGTAAATTTTGGGACTCAGACGTGGTATAACGTAAAATAGTAAATACAACTAAACGTGCGAATTTTAGACGAACTTATTCGCTACCTTTAAATGCCTATAATTTAAAAACTGTTGTAGCCTCATTTTGTATTTGAATTTTCATCTCAAAATGACCTCAAGAATCTACTTTTAAGTGTTATTATGGTCTTTCCGAGACATCCTGTATATGCAATCATATAAAATAAAGGTGGACGAGTAAAAATCGTTGATTTTTGCTTCCAATCGGGAAGTGAAATGTGTATATTTTTTTAATAATTTTTGGGTTGCAGAATTAAAACAATTAGTTTTTCATAAACATGAAAGAAGTGAAAATGTGAATAAAGTAAGTAAATAAACATACAATTTTTGCTATAAAAATGAGACACATAATGATCGTTTTTGATGTTTGAACTTTCAAAAACCATCAAATCACATTTTGTTGTAAAATTAAAATAGAAAGAAGAACACAGACATGCGAATATTCGAAGGATGTAAGACGAAAATCAGATACACGCGTTTTGCATCTTCCCGCCTTCTTAAACTCGAGGCTCTTAGACCACCAGCGTTACATTAATTTTAAGCGAGGCTTAAAACTCTCTTTGTCCCTATCTCTTTTCGGTTTTAAAACGATATAAAGAGAGTTTTAAGTTTCGCTTAAAATCAAAGTAACGTTGGTGCAACCGGGCCTTATTCATAAACTTCTAAATTTCTGACTAAATCTTAGATTAAAAAATCAGATATTTTAATCTCATACGCTTAAAATGTAGACATATAAATCCCATTCATTAATGATAACTTAATTTTCAATTTAAATGCGGTTACAGTTGATCTTCGATGTCAATTTCACTCATAGAACACACAAATGATCGTAGTTCTTGAAATATAAATTAGAATCTGTTCTTTTTTTAAGGCTGAATGATGTGCAATATCCAACCTTCCCGCTGTGCACATCGGACAACGTTGATGCCAATGGTGGAAATTGACATATGATCGATATATGAGATTGAAGTGTCTGGGTTTTCAGTCTAAAATTTATGAGTCTGAGGTTTAGAAGTTCACGGACACGCTTTAAGAGCCTAAGAGAGTTTAAAAAGGCGAGAAGATGCAAAATGCGTATGTGTGATTCTCGTCTTACATCTTTTAAGTCTTCGTACGTCTGTGTTTTTCTCTATTTCAATTCTATTATAACAAAATATTATATATTTGATGGTTTTTTAAGAGTTAAAACATTAAAAACGATTATTACTTCATTTTTGTGGCAAAAATCTTATGCTTTTTTACTCATTTTAGTCACATTTTTATATACATATATTCCTTTCATGTTTATGGAAAACTAATTGCTCTATGTAATTCTACTGCCCAAAAACTATAAAAAAACATATACATTTTATTTTCCGGGGCAAAAATTGACAACATTTACTCGTTCTTCTTTCATAATTATTTACAATAAGGCCTTTTCAAAATTTGTTAAGTTTTTTCTTAGCAATCTCTTGATAAAAATCTTTGTTGCGACTCTAATAATGATAATCAATCATGGGAAGTCGAAAAATGTGTAACCTACCTATTTTTTGTAACTATTCACGATAAAACTGAAAATAAGAGGAATCTCCTCCTGACCTTGACCTTGACATACATTGTCAAGGTCATGACCAAAAGAAGTTTAGAATACAATTCTTATTTCTGCTACAAACAATAAGCATCCCCTTCTTATTTCTGTTACATCCCGCCATCCCTTTTCTTACTTAGGTGAGGACTTTCCTAGCGAAATGAGATCCACTCTATCTCCCCTCTCTTTCCCCTGTCTAGGGACATACGATTTTCCACGCAAAGCGAGGTCTACTCCACGTCTCCTAGGTAAAGTGAAACATAGAATGAATCTCACTTCGAATAAAAAATCGTTACAAAGTCATACAAAATCCTAGAACATTTTTTATAGAAATGAGTTCCCTGTCAAATTGGTTGAAATATTGATATGCTGTAGATTTTAGCTTACTGACTAAAAATCTCAATGATCACCAGGCCAAGCAATCAAAAGTTTTGAAATTACGACTCAAATATTCAAAATTAATTCCATTATCAGGTATGACGTATGTTAGGCGCACGAGAAATTTAATTTAATGTGTTTTATCCCTTTAAAGGGAGAGAGAGAGAGAGAGAGAGAGAGAGAGAGAGAGAGAGACTTTGGAGTGACCAAATTGTCGAGATACTGCAGATCAATATAAATCTCCAAATTTACTGAACGAAATAAAAAATTCTTTTACAGGATCAAAGTAAACGCAAAATTGGGAATAACTACAATGGACTTTATGCTTAAGTTGAAAAAAGTTAAAAACTTATATTTTTTTAACACGTAGAGCCATTATCTGACGTAAATGTTTCCTTAATACAAAAGTTTTATAACTCGTATGGATAAAACAACAGTTCAGCACCTAGTATTTTACGTGCACAAACAATACTGAGTTTGTAAAACTAACAATAAGATTAAAAAGAAAGATTTATATTATCTGCAAATTATGTGTATGTTATGTGCAAATGCTGAGCAAAAACTCGAAATGGTAAACAAAGCAGTAATTGTCTAGCAGTAAATGCGATCTTGCAAGAGACGTTGCAATATATTGGATAAGGACAGATGTATATGTTTAAACGCGAACAGAAGGCTAATGTAAGAAATGAATTAAAGATGTCACTATTATCGATTTTTATTTGGAATTTAAAAAATCTGTACTATCAATTAAGTTCGGTCAACTCCAGCATCCTCTTAAGAATTTTTCACTTTTATTTTTATATATACACACTTACATGCACGCAAGCACACACGCTCACTGTTCAGAGTTTCTTTGTAAGGTCGGCCACATACGTTCAAGTAAACTTATGAAGTATACTTGCACAAGCCACTTGTGCAATTTTACTTAAAGTGTGTGGCCGATCTAATAGAGGCAAGATTTCTTGACGATCCAGCCAATAAAGGCGAAGGATGATCCATGCTATATTACTACGTTTACATCCGATGTTATAACTACTGATTACGATGACTACTGTATACGACTATATTATAATTACTGATGTTAGATGCCGCGTAAATGCTATTTTATGAAGAAGTTACTACATCGATGTAATAATATAATTACAGATGTCCAAGGACGTACTTGAGAATGAAATCGATGATTACTAGAATCCGGATTATTCGCCCATCGTATCGATTCGAGTCAACCGTTCTTTATGATTCTCTCCACTGCCACTCGCCCGAAGCCGTGGGGGATGTGGTGTGATAGGGAGAGCTAGCTAGGTTGATGCAATCTTAGAACTTTAATCCCGGCTCTAATAATTACACTTATAAAAGATTATTAAATATCGATGGTAACCTACCCACAGCCTACTGTCGAAGGTGCATAAACCAGATGGGACACCATTAAGAATAATTGTTTCTTTGATTAACAGCCCACTTTATAATTTCACTTTATAATACTTACACAAGAACATAAATAACCAGCATACTTGAAGTATACATAGTCACGTGAAAAAGTTTCCATTTAGTAGAAAAACTAAATGGAACTAATTTTGAGTCGAATTCTAAATTGGCTTCTTTAGTCTCGTTACATACTAATGTTCCTACGGAATTAGTTATTAAAAGCAAAATGTTGGAGTTACATTTCTAATAACACTCGCTTAACTGAAGATGAATTTTTAACAGCTATTTGATTCATTCTGGAATCTACGTATTTTGTGTTCAACAAGATTTATTACAAACAAATTGTCGATATGCCAATGAGTTCCTTCCTTTCTTCAATTATTGCTAACATCGTAATCGAAGATTTACAAGAAATCACAATAGAACGACTTCCCTGCCAACTATCTTTTTATTACAGATGATGTTGGAAGCGCGCTCTCAATACCGTTAACATAGAGAGCGAGACGCGTGTTACCAGCCGAGGAGTGAGTTAGAGGAAGGTACCGGAAGGGCCGCGTGTGAACCGAAGAAAACGAGATCGCGAGCAGAGAGAGTGCGGTCCGTTTCCCGCCAATATTCCCGCCAATATTCCCGCCATTATAACTTTTGCCTTTTTACTGCCATTGTTACTACGTATAATCCGAGCCGTATGATCTCAATGTTTTGCAGTAAAGTAGCGTGTTCGTGTAAAATAAGAAGAAGTATCTATTATAATATTATTGAGAACCTTACGATCCCGAAACCGCGGCTGCAACATTCTGGCGACCGTGACAGGACTGAGTAATTTCATTGTAGCCGTTTTATAGCAAGCAGAGATCGTAAGAAAATAATCCATAAACATGGAACAAGTAAAGTTAACGCTAAAAATAACACGATCCGCCTTTACGAGAGTGTACACTTCCTTCCGGACTGAGTCGAAGGAATCGCCGGACATAACCTCATTGCAAGTCAGCTTCGCGTTGCTACGAGACAAAACGAGTGAGCTTAATGAGCTAAATCAGAAGCTGCAGACCTTGATGATTGAAGCTGGAGGGTCTGAAGAAACCATTGGAAGACAGGCACAACACGCAGATGAATATGCCAC